ACTGTTTAAGATACTTTTTTGCTCGACCGTTCTATCAGGTTTGTGCAATTCCTTGCGATCCCTATTATGAACCACTATCGTGGTTAATGATACCAGAAAAACAGCAACAATAAAAGAAGTTTCGTACACGAAGCACGAATTTTCCCCTAGTGTATCTATAATTAAATATAACTTACTGTGTAGAATAAGAACCTATTCACAGAATAAACTAATATATAAAACACTGGTGACGAGAGGCTGTTAAAACTTACCAGTTGAAAACAGTTTTAAACATTAATAAAAAAATGGAAGGTGTTCTTACTGATAACAGCACAGTCTATAATATGATATTTGATATACGTTGATAATATTTTGTAGTAAAATTTGTTTCATTTAATTGATGTTTGAACAAAAGTTGTGCAGGATGAAGTGACTTGAGAACAACTTATGATCAAGATAATAGAACTAAATTCATTAATGTAAAGATTACAATTTGATTCATATGTCTGTAGGCAGACATACAATTTTAGTTCTATAAAGATATTCTGATGAAGTGTTAGGCCGTAATGTTCTTGAGCAATAATATAACAGTTACGGTTTAAACGCCGAAAGCTGGCGAAGAATGAGAAACCATTCGTCTAAAATTTGTGATAAAAATCGCATTAACTGCAGATGTTTTTTCCCCACATTCATCTTAATTTGCCCATTACTATTTCAAAATCAGAGGTGTTTGAGTGAGCGTTTCAGATCCATCTTTTGTCTAGAACGGTGATTTGAACATCTCTGATTTTGAATCAGTAATGGGCAGATTAAGAGAAATATGGAAAGTAAAACATCTGCAGTTAATGATTTTTATCACAAATTGTAGGCCTAATGTTAAGCAATGGTGTGTTTTTCAGTACATGCAGTAATTTCTGGGTGGTTGCTGAAACAATTATTGTTAGAATTATCTTGCATTGATTGTTTGTTTGTTTGAAGTTAAGCCCAAAGCTACACAATGGGCTATCTGTGCTCTGCCCATCACGGGTATTGAAACCCAGTTTCTTGCGTTGTAACTCCGCAGACATACCGTTGTGCCACTGGGGGGGGGGGGCATCATGTATTGATATAGTCACAACAGTTTAACACGAATTTTCCAGTTATACGTTTTATCTTCTGACAAATGGAAACACGTTTCATTAATATTTTAATCTGTAATGTTAATGTTTTATATTTGAAATTACTGCCCAGCATCCAGAATTTTTGAATCCTTGAAACAATTTCGATTACATATTTGTGGATTATTATATTTAATTTTTATTACTTTGTTTTCACCTTCTTTTTTAATTTTGAAGTTTTCCCCTCTTTGATAAAAACAAAACAAAAACTAATTTCATTATATTTTCGTCAGTATGTTGACTATTGTTGAAAATAAGCAACAAAGATAAAGGGGAAAAAAGCATAGTTATTTGCAAGAATGTATGCAGATATAAAATGTTTCTTATTTCAATTCAAGTGACAAATTTCTAGACTTATTTGTATAGAACTTCTTTTAATTATCAGGAATGGATCGTTATTACTCCAGACTATCGACTGGCATTCTATCCCTACGCTGCTGCCATCTACACGTTTTTGATATCACGAAAAGTCTCCCCTCCGATAAGCTACGAGATGCTTTTTAAGAAACACGTTTCAGAAAGGAAAACAAAACACGAATACTCCGTAACCGACATATATATGGGATTTTACGAATGTTTGTGCGTAATATTATTGCTTAATATCATTAATATTTAAAGCAAAATGTGAAAGAGAAAAGGACAATAAAATAAAAATTAAGAAAGTACAATTGTTGTTGTACAACAACTTGCAATTGCAAATACTACGTCGAACATACATTATCCACGCATGTTTATGTTTATTTGTGTGTGTGTGGTGATACGCCAGCTGAAGTAGTTGTTGGAAACTAAGCAATATTTTCAGATAGATCAACTTGTTCTATTAGATTGTATCATTTTGTACACGACACATACACAAATGTGTGTTTGTGTTTAACTGTATACAAATAAAACTAACGAATTAGGCTTAAGTTAATCATACTAGATTCCAACATTAATCCACTTTAACCTAAATTTGAGTATGTAAAACCTGCCATTAAGTGAACACTCAATAAAAAAATTATGAAAGCATGAAAGAAAATGTAGGCATTTAGTGGGTCTGCACTTTGAAATATTTAAGGTAGAAACACAGTTACACATCATATTAACAAGATCTAAAAATCAGAGCCTGTAGTATTGCACCTCCACTGCTAGCAAAGACGTTGGTTGAATATCTCCCAAGAACTTGGTCATGTGTAACACTTTCACTGAGAACAGTAAAGGATGGACCACATATCGATAGGGTTCATATCCGGCGATTGTCTTGACAATGCCCTGACCATTAAGTCTTCCTTTTTTATGACTCGCAATGAATGAGCAGAAGCACCATCTTGAATGAAAACACTGCCTTGTCTGGTAAGCTGGTTACTTATGTAAACGGGTAGAAGGCCGTGCTCAAGAACTGTGATGTACTGAGTATAAATGAGGTTCGTACGTGTACGCATACCACCCACTGTGACCGTTCAGTTTCCCAAAGGGAACCCTCACCATAACAAAAATACTTGCAGACGACTCAAAAAAAAAAAATCCTGATAGGATAGTCGTCAAACCCATGGGTGCCCACTGTCCGAAAGCTGTACAAATATGGACTCGTCAGAAATAATTACAGTACGCAGAAGAAAGGAAGAGATGATAATATCTGTGAGCTTACTGTGGTGAGGAGTGGCATGAGTGTAGCTACTCTGCCAATTATTGTCCATGTTATGAAGAAAACTTTAGGTGTTATTCAGACACACTTGCACCCGTCTTGCGGCCCTTTGATGTGAATCATTCTCCACACTTCTTACAGCAGAAAGTGTCGGTGTTTGGTGTACTGACCATGTAAAAAATGTTGTTCTTCGAAGTGACTGAAACTGCTTTGTGATCCTATTCATTATGGACAGAAGTATTGCAAATGACCTAAATATTTATTGCTTACTTTGACCGTCATTCCATCGTCCAACTATGCGATATCATGAAATATGGTTTAATTTTTAGGATACTTTCGCTTGATTATTTGGATTCTTTGTTCTTTATCGAGACGTGCTATGTATTTATAAGGTTGCTTTGTATTCTTGGTGGTAGCTACTTGCATATCGGTAGGATGTATATGATTTTTACGGATTGCCGACCACAATATGTATTTCCATGATTTTTATACAGTTGTGAAGTTTTGTTTTGTTATGATTGTCATGATATAAAAGACTGTTTAGTTTAGATATTATTGGTTAATTTATTTTTGTGAGTGAATATTTTATTATTGTTTAGTTTTTGTTATAATAAGAGTTAAAAGCGGAGGATTGTAGGAAGTTTTGGTAATAATTCATTGGTGTTGAAACTAACGAACCTCACGTGCAATACATAGACGTCAAGAATATAGAAGGCAAGCAAACGACTAAGTGATAAAGATATAAATAGTGTGAGACGAGCAAAAACAG